GAGGGTGAGGGCTCTTCGCCGTCGTGGTGCCGTTGGGGTCCGTCGAGATCTTTAACACGCGAATGTTGTGCAAAAGACGGTTCGTCTTCCGCACGGCGAGGTTGATTCGAAGCTGGAGGTGCTCACACTCGGCCTCGGTGACCGAGCTCGCGCCGGGCGCCGAGGTAGACCCGAAGTTCTTCTCGCGATCACGCTTCTCAGCGGCCGCGATGATATTGCGCAAAACGGCGTTTTCGTTATAATACTTCCGAATACTCGAACGGTAGGAGGTGGCCTCGCAGCTAAATTTTTCGCTCAGCGTGGCTTGCTGGATGAGAATATCATGCAACTCCTTTTCCAAGCCCCCGGAGTCCTCCTCGGTGCCGATAGAAGACTTGCCTTTACGTGATGGTACCGCTTTGGGCGCGCTGTTGTCGACGAATTTAACCTTGGCGGAGACTTTGAGAAATCGCGAGGTGCCATCCGCGGACGACAAACCCGCTCTTGTGGAGCCCCTGATAGGCGATGGGTTTCTGGAATAACGCCCACCCACAGACGCACTTCCAGCTCGCTTCATTTTTGCACTATTAAAAGAAAAGTAAATGGTAAAACTGTAAAGATCAAGGGATGGGCCCTGATGTGAAAACACACTCTACTAAAGCACACGTTTTCCCACCCCAGAAGTATAAATCGATACAAGAACTCAATAAAAAGTTACAAAAGGAAGTGCCTTTTTGGAAGCCTTTTCTCTATGAATTAAATCAGTGTCGTTGCGTGAACTATGTATGGGTGGTAAATAAAGGAAAATCAAAGGAACAGATAAACTACTGGTGTTATAATAAGTAATACTCTCCTTTCGAACACACCTAAACAATAGGATGTGTCGGGATTGTTTTCTAATTTATTGTGTAGTATAATTTCAGAGAAATTGTTTACTACGCGCTTTAAAGATATTCATGAAAAGCACATAACATCAACCAGAGTGTAAATGTTACAGGATACGTTAGAACTTGTACCATGGTTTGTTAAGCACACACGCTTCTCACGTCCAAAGAGCCGTTTCCAAGTTCTCTGAGTAATTATTTTGCATATATATATATATATATATATATAAAAGGTCATTAAAATGCCAAATCATCAAGAAGAAATAGCTCGAGGTTAAATTGAAATAAACTATGATCTGAATTATTTATTTGCGCGCAATAACAATCAAAAGGATGATTGCTGCCTTCATAAGTTTCTTTTATTTTTCAAAAAAAGACATGCTGCTCAAAGGAACTTCTCGCTGTGTCTCCGCACATTTTGATTTTAATAATACGGAAGCATAGAAAATGCTCACGGGGAGTAAAAAGAAACCAAGGCTTCCTTTGAAAAGAAATATGCGGATTGCCGCACACAAAGAAAACTCCAATTTCCTAAAAAACGCCTGCTAAAAATCTGGAGAAAGCTAACGACAATACTCAGATGATCACTTGTTTGTCATCCTTCATGGCTTCCATACTAACGAATATTTATGAATAATCGAAATGGATTTTCACAAGTATGCATCGTTATATTTAAAAATTCACTTCATTAAAATGGTGAAAAGCTCTTGTCAAGACTATAAAGAAAAAAAGTAAATGAGAAAGAGAAAAGGGATAAAAGGCACATGATGTTTATGTTTTGCTGCTGCAGATGATTAAGAAGAGTTGTAAACTTTTACAAGAGGGTTTCTTAGGTTAGCTACCCTACCCTTTCCCTCCGCCCCTCTCGATGTATATAAACATAGCCCTTATGGATATGTCCTTTTATATATATATTAATTAGACCGTTACGCTTTGTTAATCATTCGTAATTAATGACCCCCTTCCCAACTGTTAACAAAATTAATACGGAAGAGACCACAGGAGTATATTAGCTCTCATCTGCTAACCATTAACTCGCAAAAAGAAAGGAATTCAATCAATTATATCAAAAAGAGATTCAAAATGAAGATTAAAAAAATCACAGTTTGAATCACTCTATTTACCCGATGAATTCGTACACTTCGTTGGTTTTCTGATCATTTTAGACGTCTAGTTCTTTTCGGAACTTCCCTTTCGCTTGACTACGCCTTTGATATCAGTGTGCCTTTCGTTCGCATTCGTACCATTCTCTTTCACGACTTAAACCTCGGCGGGAGAATCTGATAACGGCGTCTTTTCACATTCCACAGGAGCCTTTTCCCTCTTCTCCTCCACTACAGCGGGTTTTCTCCCCAATTTCACCCCTCGAGGCCTTTTCGTCGGATCAATCAGATCCGTCGGAAGGTTCTCAAGCTGGGAGGTGAAAAAATCCGTGGCGTAGTCAATTCCGAGGGTCTTCAAGTACGCATTATTTGCCCGTTCCGTCCGCGCGGCTTTAATCAACAACGCGACGGGGTCCTTCCGTGTAACGTTATGCCGCTTAAGCGGGGCACCTTTGGTTTTATACGCGTAGGCGAGTTGCCGGCGCTTAGTCACGCTCTCCTTCGACGGCATCGCGCGATGGAGGACAACGGTTTTGGCCTGGACGGTCCGCCCGCCAAGCAACATCCCATGGCATTCCTCCTCCACCACCGGCAGGGCCGACTCGCGATCGAACTGAACGTAGGCGATGCCTTTCGACTGGTGTGTCCGACGGCTACGCACGCAAAAGCAATTCTGTACCTCGGCGCCGAATTGGTTGAGAAATTTAAAAAGCTGCGGCTCCTGGAACTCCGGAGGGAGAAAGCGAAGGTGGAGGACAGAATACGCCAGCCGCTCCCCGGTCCGACGGGCCTTAACAAAAGGGTTTTCATCCCCACCTTTAGCGCGATCCGCATCGCTGCTACTGATGCTCCCCAACTCACTAAGATCATCCGCCTCTTCGTCCTCAGGGTCCTTCGTGAAGTCATCATCGCTGCTACTGCTATCCACCAGCGACTCTACCTCATCTGCTTCCTTCGCGGCAAATTCTTCCTCCTCTTCCGTTCGCGCATTTCCTCGGCGCGGGGTTGTCTTTTTCCCTCCCTTTGCTCTTTCGTTCGCCTGACCTTGCACACGCTGTGCGTCGTCGTCGGCGCGTGGACGTTTGCCTTTTCCCCTTTCCGTCCCGCCCTTCACCGTGGAAGAGGAGGGGGAAGGGGGAGGCCTTCGTTTCGCAGGACCCGCCCCCGTGAGGTCCTTCCTCTTTGTGAAGGGAGTCGTACTGGCCTGCAGGGACGGCTCCGAGTCATCAAATGTCACACGTTTGGGGGCTTTCCTTGAGGAGGGGGGGGGGTCAGCTCGGGTTTCTGTTGCAACGCCTGTTTGGACTTCAGCTCAGTTTTCTGCTGGGATTTCTGTTGCAACGCCTGTTTGGACTTCAGCTCAGTTTTCTGCTGGGATTTCTGTTGCAACGCCTGTTTGGACTTCAGCTCATTTTTCTGCTGGGGTTTCTGCGTGGGTTTCGGGTTAGGGCGGGGGTTGGGTGGGCTGTTCGTGGTGAAGGTGGTCTCTACCACCGCCGCCGTCGAGGACGCGATGGGGCGCCGCCGAGTGGGGGCGCCGCCGGAGGATTTGGAGACCTTCGGCGGCACTTTTTTGGCCGTTTTTTTCCCTTTATCTTGCTTTACCATCGCGAGAGGAGTTTTGTGGTAATGAGATCCTTTCAAATAAAGATTACTAATTGTTTATTATTATGGTTATGATTATGTATTTTAGGATTAGCCGTTCGCTTTTGAGGATCCTTTACTTCTGGACTGTATCGCAATTAGACTATTCGTACGAGATATAAAAGGAAAGAGGGGTAATAAACATTTTTGCAAGGATGGCAGGAGCTCGCCTATTGGTAAACCAAAATGAATACGCGAAGCCGCATTACAGAAACAGAACCCTATCGATGAGTTCTAATGTGTGCATTGACAGCTATAGATACACAAATAATAAAAAATGCCGCCTGATTTAACTTACATAAAACCCTTCACCATCTTGTTGTTCGAACCATGAAATGGTCAATACGAATAATGAGGTAAAGGGATAGAATACAGGTTTTTAAAAGAAAAAAGAAGAAGAGAGGTGTAAAAATAGAATTCAACATGCCTAAATACTCTTCGATGATTTCCTTCTTTTTTTTTAGTTGTGGTTTAGACGTTAAAGTTATCCTGAAACCACACCAACGCAGCTTGCACGATCTCAGCCGTCGCTGAGGCTGATGTCGTGGTCATTTGGTCGGGCTTTCCCTGCCGTGTAAATCGTTTGATATCATACGCCGGGGTGAGCAAAGGTGCGAGGTCGAAAAACCACCGTCGAATTACGCGATGGGCCTTCCCAGAGTGATCAAAGATAATCATCACATTTTCCGAGGCTTGCTCAGCGGCGGCCTCGCGGAGCATCCCGCGTAAAATGCGATTCGCACGCTGTTTTTGCAAAATCCGCTCCTCCGCGATCACCTGCAAGAGATCCTTCGCGCTGCGTTCTAAAACCCCTCGCCAACGCATCGCCAGCGTTTTATAAAGATTATTAGAATTATCCGGAAGATGCGCCTCGGGGGCGGCCTTTTCTTCCTTTTTTCCCCCATTTTCTGCTGAATCGGGAGGATGAAGGAAAAAAGAAGGGGGTAAAAGTGGATGGGTTTCACCCCGCCCGGTAATTAACGCGCGGTGAAGCCACGCCACACGCCGCAGGGAACTTTCATCGCTCACAAAACGCGAATCCACACTCGCGCGGGTGAGTTTTAAGGTGGTTTTTCCACTTTCCATCGATCTGTTCGTATCATCGGGGAGATCAGCCTCGTAGCGGCGTAGAATCGCCTCGCAAAGGAGAAGTGGCGGGAGCTGTTCGAATATCCCGCACAAAGCCACCTCATAGCCAAACGGAGGCTGCGGTAGACAAATCCGCGTATGCGCATCGTCGGCGTCTCCTCCGTCGTTCGAGGGGCGCATTAAACTTTGACAAGCTTTCGAGGATTCGTGCGAGGTGAGAAACGCCATGATCGCGTCCACCGTTGCCAAATCCCCCGCTTCCTCGTTCGGGAAGTTTACATCCGTCGAGACGGCGGCCTCGTGGGAAAGGCTTTTTTCAGGGTTGGGGTGAATATCGATCGCGTGGTGGGTGTGGGCAAGAGCGCGGGAAAATTCCAGCGCGACCGCCGCTTTATACATCGTGGGCCCCCCCATCGCCCTCTCCGAGCGTAAGAACGCCGTCAAAGCTGAGCGAAGAGGCCGTAGAAGCCCCTCCACGACATCGCGATTTCGCGCGGCGTCGGGTTTTTCCCCTCGGCCGAAGTAATCCGCGGCCTTTCGTGATACAGCGTTCACCCACTGCGCGAGATACACCCACCCCACCGCGGCCTCGGCGAGATTCCCAAAGGCCAACGTGACCTCCTTCCCCTCGCTCGAAGGCTCCCACCCTGCCGGCCCGGAAAGGGAGTTGAGCGAAAAAAGGCGAACGATGCTTGAGATATGCGCGATAAAATCGCTTTCGCGCTGGAGAGGAATCATCCGCACACACAACGCCGCCCCGGATAAACGCAGCATCGGGGACTCCGCTGTCAACGCGCAGACAGCGTGATGCCGCGCGATCCCGCCCAATTCGACCCCATACGCCACGAGTGGAGACATTTCCGTCAAAAAACGCCCCGCATGATGGAGTTCCCCACCTTGCGTACTCCCCTGGGAGGGATAACCCGTTTTATCATCGTTGGAAAGGCCCCACGAGGACGCCCCGTCCCCGCGTGAAAATGCCGCCCCGCAGTGATCCAACAAGGCGCACATCAAACACACCATCCGCTGGCGACCCTCGACCTCCGCGGAGGCGACGAAAGGGGAATCGCCCGCGGCGTCGAAAATGGCGGAGTTTAAAACTTCATAAAGTGTGGAAAGGATATCGGGCAATAATTGCCGCGATTTCGCGCGATGGGGGGGGGCGACGGCGGTTAAAAGCCGCGTGAGGCCCTGCGCGATGGTCCGGTCCATCGTCGCCAAGTACGCCCCCATCCCCGGGGCGTGCAAAAGACCCTCCGTCAAAGACAAAGTCGCGAAATGGGGATCGACATCCGCCAAACACGTCAAAATCGCGGCGAAAAAGACAAATGCGCGATCTGGAGTGATGGCGGGCGTGATTTCTGGCTTCTCCACCCGTTCGCCCCCCGCGAGCGGGGATTGGAGGATAAAAAGAGAAAAAAGCTGCGTGAGCGCGCCGACATCACGCCGTACCAAGGTCGCTAAGATCGAGACATTGGATAGAAGCATCCCCCAGACCGCCTCGGCGTTTTGTTGGGTGACTAAGAAATGCCGTAAATACGGCGCATTTTCTATTTCGGCGTAAAGATTGCTATGCGTACTAGGAGAATGGTAAAGATCACCCAAATCGTTCGCCCCTAATAAGGTCCAACCTTCCTTAAACCCAATTCGTCGTACGACAGACTCCACCATGTTAATCGCGTCATGCATGGAGGAAGTTGAGCGGGATGGAATTGGCTTTGCGCTGGCGGTGAAGGAGGATTTCCTGGCAAGACGCCCTCCTTCCCCGGTTTTTCGACTTCGCGCCCGGTCTTGTCGGGGGTGGATTTCATCCCCCCGGATGGCAATCAGCGCGGGCGGGCTCTCCACCCGCGCCATCCCGCGCATCGGCAGCGGCCGCCTGGTCAAGACCGAATACAACCGCTCAAGAAATTGATCCGCGTAGCGCCCTCGCTCGTTGATGATGTTCTCCACCACCACCTCCTCCTCCTTTCGCGCGAATTCGGCGCCCATTCCCGGGCATGGGGGGACCTCCCCGGGTGAAAAAAGCGCGGCGGCGATCTTGGCGCCTTTTTTGTGCACCATCTTCCGCAGCGCCGTCCAATTTCGCCGCCGGGTGTCGGGATGGGCACGGTCGACAAAGCCGTGGAGGGAAATCACCCCGGGCCAATACCGCGCGCAGATCTCCGCCGCGCGGACCCCGCTCGCGAGATCCCGCCGCGGCCGCCGCAGGGCATGGCAGAGCCCAAGGGCCTGCAGCCAAACGATCATCTCCCGCGCGAGCGG